ATGCCGAATAGTGTATTGTATTACATTGCTCTGTTTTTACCTTTTTACCATTTATTGTTTCATTGTATGTAATGGCAGGGATTAGGGATTAATAAAGTACAACCATAACCACAATCATATAAACAGAAATCTATGCATTGATTTATATGACGGCAAGTCCAGATGGTGTGGCCAAGGTATAGCAATATTTCGTTTTTTTTTATTTACATAGCAATTTTTAATAGCAATATATTGGGGGGGGGGGGCATTTTGAGCATATTTGAATATTATAATTACGGCCTTTGTTAAACCTCATACGGCGTGGCGGCACCGGCCTGTTGCAAGCAGACAGGCTGCCCTCCTCGTCATCTCGAAAACGTGAAAGCAAACGCCACCGGCTCGACACCTGCCCTGCGAATTTCCATTTCTCCCCCGTAGGCAGGAAAATAAAAAAGAAACCCAAAACGGACTGCCGACTTCGCCGCAGCTGCCGCCGCTATGGTCACACTGGGGGCCCGTGTCTGACCAGTGGGGGAGATCCGCGTGCGAGCTCTTCGATCATGGACATCACAGCAGCAGCGGCAGCGCATCACACCGCGCACAAGAATACTCTGGCTACGAGCCATCGGTTGTTCTCGCTGGGAACGGCAAAATTCCCGAAACAGCGCCCCATTGTTGACTTCCACGCCGAGCCACTGGAGTTCCACAATACAGAGACAACACGGAGACAACACGGAGACAATACAGGGGCAACACGGAGACGTCTTCATGAAGGCGCCTCCGTGAGAGACACTCGCAGGAGCGCCCAACTTCGGCGTTTCGGTAAACGTACTGCTGCGCTGCTGCTGTGCTGCGCTTCTGTTATGCTGCCCTGCTGCTGCTGCTGTGCTGATAAGCTGTGCTGCTACATTGCCGCCCTGCTGCTGTGCTGCTGCTATGCAGCGCTGCTACATTGCTGCTGTGCTGCGAGGCTGTGCTGCTGCGCTGTTGCTACGCTGCACTGCTACACTGCTTCTATGACGTGCTGCTACGCGGCTGCTACGCCGCGGTGCTGCTACATTGCTGCTATGCTGTACTGCTGAACCCGCTGCCACGTTGCCTCGCGGAACAGACGTCGGGGCGCCCGACACGACAGCCGACACGCACGCGAGAGCCCCGTCCCCCCACTCACGGGCGCCAGCGTTCATCCACACGTGGCTGTGCGTGCCGCGCGCCTGCATCCCTTCGTGTTCCATCCACTGCTGGATGAGCGCTTATCTCGCACCGGTCAGTGCGGGTTCGTGAAATGCGTCTGGGGAGCATAGACGTGGCGGCACAGTGCAGTACAACAGCGGAGGCCTGCTCCCCATGTGACGGCCTCGTAGTGGCCTGTCACAACGACGTCTCATACACAGCAGGTGCCCATCCGAGTACTATCCGGGCTCAACTCAGCTTCGCTTCCCAGATCTGAAATTGACGGGGGAGGCGGTGGGCTGGGGTATGCGGTGGCACAGTGGTTCGCGCACCTCACGCTTTGAAGCCGGTGGGATGAGTTTGATTCCCGGCCACGGCTAACATCAGTGGCGATTGACATCCGAACGAGTCATAGGCCTCCCAGCCTCCCCACTTCATCAATCCGCACTGACCGGCGTGGTGAAGTATGGTCGACCGACCTCCCCACCCCCCAGGACCAAAACAGCTTTGGGGAGGCCCCTCATCCAGCAGTGGATTGACATACCGTGCCCACCACACCTCCACGAGCAGTGCAGGCGACTGCACGTGGCGTACGCGGCGCTGCCAAACAAGAGCACGTGAGCGTGACGCACACATTCCCAGGGGTCTACAGATGATCCGGCGATGCTGCTGCTGCTGCGTTGGCAGTGGTGTGCAAGCACGATCAATATAGCAACAGGTTCGTCAACAACGCTGATGTTTTCTGACTTAATGAATGAATAAATACATCACACTCATTGGCCTTGTATACAGGAGGTCGTGGGTTCCATAAATGGATACATAGATAGCACTCATTTATGTGCGCTGACGAAGGGCCATTGCCCAAAACTAAACTAAAAACTATGAACTATTTTTTGTTTACCAGCTAAGGCCCACTGAACTTTACAGCTTATTCGCAGAAGCGACTTGGCCACAAGTGATAGCTCAACAAAGTGGCTTTTCATCATGTGGACATTTAAATCAGCACCTATTATAAATTATTCATTTTAAGGCCACAGTGTTATTGACGAATGTGTTGAGGTTTTTTTTTAAAAATACATTCCCATAAACAAGCTCCCATCACCGGCCGAGTGGCTTAGAGGTAGGACGGCTAGTGTTCTGGAGTCAGAAAATGAGTTCAAATCGGCCCACCACCACCATCATCATCCGTCCCTCCGGGCGTGATAAAATAGCCACCAACTTTGCGGTGAAATCGACAACGCTTGACTTGCGTAAAGATATTCGCCCCCACCATCGGAATGTTGAATCCCCACCACCGCACTGACTCGAGGCTATAAGGGAGGAGGTGAGCACAGCACGCGCTCGTTCGAGCAAAGGAATCGCGTTGACCCTTTTTACTCTAAAGCGGCGGGCCCCGATCGCTACTGAGCAGTCGTAGGCAGTCGCCCTCCAGCAACAACAACAACAACAACGGCGGAACGGACGAGCGACGCTCACAACAACGAGTGGCTAAAACGCAGCAAGTTGGCACGGCGGGGAGCACACGGCCACTCATCTCCGTTTGGCAACGCATGGCACCTGCAGGGTCCATCCCGTGACCTCCTGCCAGCGAGCCTTCGACACTTCACGCGGCCTAAAAGTGCACATGGCCTTGTAGTGACATCACCGCCACTTAGTAGCAAACGGCGGTTGTTGTTGTGACCTGCAGTGTGGTGAGTGGGTGCATGAGTTAGTGAGTGGGTGAGTTAGTGACTGGGTGCATGAGTTAGTGAGTGGGTGAGTGTGTTCATGTGACCTGCAGTATGAGTGGGTGAGTTAATTGTTGTGATCTGCAGTGTGGTGATTTAGTGGGTGAGTGGGTGTATTGTTATGATCTGCAGTGTGGCGAGTGGGTGAGTTATTGACTTAGTGAGCGAGTGAGTGTGTTTACATGACGTACAGTGTGAGTGGGTTAGTGGGTGTATTGTTGTGATCTGCAGTGTGGTGAGTGAGTTAGTGAGTGTGTTTAAGTGACCTCCAAGTGTGATTGAGTGGGTGAGTGTGTTGTTGTGAGTGGGTGTATTGTTGTGACCTGCAGTGTGATGAGTGGGTGAGTTCGTGAGTGAGTGTGTTTACGTGACCCGCAGTGTGGTTAGTGGGTGAGTGAGTGTTTTGTTGTAAGTGGGTGTATTGGTATGACCTGCAGTGTGGTGAGTGGGTGATTTGATTGTCTTGTTGTGATCGGCAGTGTGGTGCTGGTTGGTGGTTGAACACCATGGATGAGTAGAAACAGCCAGTGGCCTGCTCGTTGAATCGCTCTCCCCAACATCCCGTATCGTGCCCCGCGTGTTTCAGCTCTCGTTAAGCTCACATTCATGGGGGCTTATTGCCTCTCACCGATTCGCACGTGGCATGCGTCCGATCTCGTTATTATCTCTTTCAAGCTAAGCCGGGTTTCAGCCTGGATAGTACTTGGATGGGCTTGACTTTTTTTGCAAAAACGAACCGCCCCCCCACGCCAGAAAAAAAAGACTCAACACATTCCGTGTCAATAGCACTTTGACCTTCAAAGGGAGTACACATTAATAATTAGGGCAATGGCCCTTCTTCATGTCACGCGCATAAGGGCTGTGTATCCACAGGCAAGTGTGTTGCAATGTATACATCAACAACACAAATCAATAGGAACATTGTAAAGCGACTATCATACTGAATGTTCGTACCACAGCGTTTCACGAGACGCCTGTTCCACCAGCATGGAAGAGAAGGCCAAATATCCTCGACAATCTAGAGGAGCCTTCTAGCTCTCTCGCTCTCTCTCTCTCTCTTGGAATCCCTTCCGCCAGCAGTGGCACGAGCCCAGTAATTGCAGCGCTGCGCCTTTGCCTTTTGTGTCAAACTTTAAAAAAATCAATGCGAGGCTGACCTTATTTATGCAACGAGCGTCAACGACGCTGCTTACTTACGAGACGTGAACTCCTTTTTATCTCGCGACGCAACGACCTCGCGCTAGCCGCGGCACGCACTTGAGTCACGTCGCCGCCAGCGTTTTAGGCGGAGCGGTGGCCCGGTTCGCCGTGAGCCCAGACAGCGGCTAACATCAGTGGCGAGCGATTGCTAAAGCGGTCCTGTGGTGGAGGATCGTCGAGCAACCGTTAGGACCGGTAAAAACCGATACTGAAGACCTTCATCCAGCAGTGGATACACTCAAGCCACGTGACGAGTCCACCACACAGGCAACACGTGCGGGACCTGAGGTGGTGATGCCCTCTCCGACCAGCTCCCCTCTCACCACCCAGCTCCCCTCTCACCACCCAGCTCCCCTCTCACCACCCAGCTCACCTCTCACTCCCAGCTCTCCTCTCACCACCCAGCTCCCCTCTCACCACCCAGCTCCCCTCTCACCACCCAGCTCCCCTCTCACCACCCAGCTCCCCTCTCACCACCCAGCTCACCTCTCACTCCCAGCTCTCCTCTCACCACCCAGCTCCCCTCTCACCACCCAGCTCCCCTCTCACCACCCAGCTCCCCTCTCACCACCCAGCTCCCCTCTCACCACCCAGCTCACCTCTCACTCCCAGCTCTCCTCTCACCACGCCGCTCCCCTCTCACCACCCAGCTCACCTCTCACTCCCAGCTCTCCTCTCCCATCCCAGCTCACCTCTCACTCCCAGCTCTCCTCTCCCATCCCAGCTCACCTCTCACTCCAGCTCTCCTCTCCCATCCCAGCTCACCTCTCCCATCCCAGCTCCCCTCTCCCACCCCAGCTCCCCTCTCCACACCCCAGCTCCCCTCTCACCACCCAGCTCACCTCTCTCACCCCAGCTCTCCCAATCCAGCTCTCCTCTCTCACCCCAGCTCTCCTCTCCCATCCCAGCTGCCCGCCTCACCCGTTCGCGTTGCACCCCAACTCGTCCATGGCAGGCGCGGCAGCAACAGGCGAGAGCGGACGAGCGAGCGGGCGGGCGGGCGGGCGGGGTGGAACCTGCGCCTGGCCGCTCGGCGACTTCTCAATTCAACCTCCTCCAACTCGGCTGCAAGCGGCGAGGCGTGAAGACAGCGGCGGGTGAGAGGAGGAGCGGGAGGAGGTGATGGCTGTTGTGGCTGGGTGGGTGGGTGGTTGGTAAGAGGGGGGTGCTGAGGGGGGTGTGATAAGCTGGGGGGGGGCTGTGGGGTTGTGTGAGGGAGGCGGCTTTGTAGTCACAGGCCGACTGCGTGGAGAGGCGTCACCCCCGGCAGAGCAGCGAACATCAAAACGTGGAACTGTTCCACCCCCCCACCTCCACCGAAACCCGCTGCCCTAACCCCCCCTCACTCCCCCTAATCCCCCCTCCCTCTAACCCCCCCCACTCGCCTTAACCCCTCCGCTCCCCCTAACCCCCCTTACTTCCCCTAATCTCCCTAACCCCCCCTCCCCCCTCCCCGCTAACTCCTTTCTCCCCCTACCCCCCTCCCCTTAACCCCTCCTTCCCCCTGACCCCCCCCCCCTCTCCCCCTAACCCCCCCTCCTCTTAATTCTCCACCCTCCCCTAACCCCCACCCCTCCCCGCCGGCTGGGGCTGGGAAGCGCTTGCGAAACCTCGCTCCGGGCCACAGAAAGAGTCGTGGAGACCCCCTCGTCGAGAGGGGTGGGTGGGGGGTAGGCGAGGAGCTCCCTGCCGTCACCTCGGGCAGAGGAGAGACCCCACCCACCACCAGCACCACCACCAAAGACAAAGATCCCCCGTCTGGCCTTAACGGACTGTCGGGGCAAGTGCTGTCAGGGAGCAGCACCTATGAAGGCCGGAACGGCACACGAGGGGCTGGGTGGCCAGCACCACGCCCGGCCGCCTTTGTCACCCCAGTGGCGATATTCACTCGACACCGCACCAGCTGCTCATTTTGAGGCTGAGTGAACCTGGGGGAGGCCCAGGACCAGTTCAGATATTCGTCGCTGGTATTGGTGGCAGTGAGCGGGAATTGAACTCGGGTCGCCGGTGTTGGTATCGCAGCGCGCTAACCGCTGCGCCACCGCTCCCGACGCCAGCGCCGCCACCACCACCACCAGACTCCACCGACACCACCACGCGGACCGCTCCACCTCTCTTGCTTCGTCACAGCCGTGACACGCCGCGCGCGTTCTCCGTGGCCGCAAACAAACTCAGGAGATGAATGGAATTTGGGGGTATGGTCTCCTTGTTAACGGTGTTGTTAGTCTAATTGTGCGGCGATTGATGCGGTTCTTTAATCGCGGGCGCTTTTTTTGTCAGACGATTTGAAGTGCGCTTGGTTTTGTGTTGAAAATATATTTTTTTTGCGTGAAAATATCTATTCAATAAACTATAAAACTATTTTATTTGGCCAGGTAAGGCCCACTGATCTATTTATCTCTTTTTCAGAAGTGACTCGACCACAAATGATAGCTCAACGAAGTGGCTTATCACGTGGAAATCTATCACAGCCAAATACTCTAAACGCACGTTTCTAAATGTGTGTGTGGGGGGGGGACCGGAGGACCCGGAGAAAAATCCACGCGACTACGGGAAGAGAGAGACACCTCAAACTCCAAATGTACAGCCTGCGCCAGGGTCGGGATCGAACCCACGGCCTCCACTACACCAGGCGAGGTGGTTAACATCTCACCACTGTGGCGCCACTTCGTATATACGAACAGTATTATTTGCCACAAATGAACCACACTATCTTGCTTATTTCATCAAAAAGCGTAACCCATCACGCCAACTCATACTCGCAGCGGCTCTTGGTTCGCCGTCGAGCAAAGACGGTCACTGCATCACGCGCTTTCAGACGCACTTCTGCGGCCGTCTGGAATGTTCTTACGATATTTGGAAGCCACTGGAGCTATGCACTTTGAAATCTAGATTGAAAACTAATTTCTTTAGAACTGCTTTGGTGTTCAGTCTGTTGTCCTTCCCTGCACTTCCGATTCGTATGGTTGGTCACGTACGGTGGGAAAGAAGTTCAACATATATACATACATTATTTATATATATAGGTCACGTAATTGACGGTCAAGAATAAGAACGGAGTGGGAGCCGATGAATGGAATGCGTCCTAGAGGGTACGCACACCGCGGAGATGGAGCGGTGGAATCAATTTCATGCGCAGGCGCTGTGAGCGGATTGGTCCATCGCAGGATTGTGAGCGGTGGCTACGGCTTGGGTCGGAGACGACTTCATCCAGCAGTGGATGGACCATGGATGATGATGACGATAATCACGCAACCGTATAGCATTGCCGCGGGAGCGGTGGCGCAGCGGTTAGCGCACCGCTCTACGAAACCAGACGGCAGCACGGCTGACCCATCGGCAGCAGTGTCGAGCGATATCCGATCTGACCCGAGACCTCCACCGCACCCCCCACCGTGTGACCATACTTCACCGTCGGCGTGGTGAAGAAACGACTCCCATGCCGGAGAGGCCTTCATCTGCAACAGTGGATGATGGGCACAGGCCAACGCGAATGAGCGAGTGGCACCGGTGGCTGCCCTACGGGCCCCGTCGACGATGGAGCAACGGCCGAGAGGATTCTGCAGCGCCCCGTGGCTTCGAGAGAGGGCCCATTTATTTATTTGCCAATAGGAAACACATTTTTCACACCCCCCCCCCCACCCCCGAGCAAGACCACTTGTCACGAGGGAGAAGTGCGCATTCGGATTCTAAATTTGATGCTCGAGGGAGATAAATATACATAAATATAGATTAGTTGCTTCGCCCGTCGTCAGCTAACCACGGCAGCTAACGGGGGGGGGGGGGGGTGGCTGATTGAGAGGGGGGGGTCCCCTTTCCCGTCAAGCAACCTCTGCAACACGACCCCCAGTTGGTTGCACGTGCACACGTACAGTCAAAAATCCACTGCTGGATTAAAGCCCCCCCCCCCACCCGCTCGCAGTGGGTGTGGGGGTCGTGGCGTTGATATACAGGCTGCGTGCTCTATGAAGCGGATACGCGCGCAGTAAAAACTATTGTTGTACGGTACTCCTATGCTCCCGCGTCTGTCTTACGCTCCCCAGCTTCACCAACCGAGGCTACAACAGAGTGGTGAAGTATGGTCAAATAACCCCCCCCCCCCGCAAGGATCCTAGTTACGCAAAGGGCATTGCTGCCATATTCACGGTGCGTCCACAAGTCTCGTAATAATGTGACGACAGCGGTCGAGTTGAGGAATTGGCACGATCAGGGTCGCAAGCGCGTTCAAATGAGTGTGATCTGTCTTAACAGCACCGACAACCACTCAACACGTCCGTCAATAACACCGTGTGGTCTTTAAAGTAAAAACATAAATACGTGTAATGACCCCTTCTTCATAGCGCTGTTTTATTTGTTACGAAGAAGGGCCATTGTCCGAAACGTCGCCTAGTATTTTTTCCCCTTCAAAGCCACGCGCACACACACGCGGTGTGAATGCCCAACGTGTTAAGTGTTGTTGTTAATTGCGGCTGTCCATCACTGCCAACGCAGCAGCAGCATCACCAGATCGTTCATTTGTCTCTCTCTCTCTCTCCACGCTGCTGTTAAATGATAATAATAGTCATTAATAAAATTTCAAATGTATAATGCGCATTCCATCCTAGGATCCCAATGAGCAATGCATGCAAAGTAGGAAACAAAAAAACAGAACCAGGGCAACCGACCACACTAATGAGGAAAGGCTGAGTTTAAAGAGATGGTGGGGGGGGGGGGTTAAGTGGCGAGGCGTTCCACAGCTTGTGTGTCGCGCTAACAAAAGCGCCCCTAGAGGCTGCTCAGTATGGCGTGAGCCCCCCCCCCCACCTCTTTTTTTGCTCGCAACAGCCAACGGGAATCTTATGCACCTCGTTGATGGGCCTTAACGTAAACCCGCTGGAGTACGTGCAATCGTTGAACTGCGTAGACGACGGCGCTATTGGGACGCGGAGGAACGGCGAGATGGCACAACCTCTCTCTGTCTCTCTCTGTCAGTTCTCTGCTGAAGCCCCCTCGTTGTGGTCAGCAGCGAGACCTCGGCGTCGGCTTACCGGAGCTCCTGAACCACATTTGCAGCCACGCGCAAGACCAGACTGGAACCAACCGCATCGATTCAGACACTCTGCGAGGTGACAACACAGGCGGAACTACACACT